GTGGGGGAATGGATTGGAGATGGCTGGCTAGGGACAGGAAGACTGTTGTAATAATTTAGGTGAAAGACAATAACAGCAGTAGAGCCATAAACAAGGGGGTGGGTTTGAGATACTTTTAGTGGGTAGAATCAAAACTATTTTATTGCTGTGGGAGTAAAAAGAGGAAGCCAGACACTATGTATTCATACTTGCAGTCACATTGTCTTTGGGTTTTTTCTCTTTCCTACATATATGTATTTTTAAAATTTTCTTCTAATTTGTTATCCATGGCGTAGAATGAATTTTGACACATTGTTCTTGTTTTTGTGCTTGGCACATATTGGGCAAGTGTTTTCCTTGGGGCTTATGTTCTAGGTTTCCTCTGTTAGCCCCACATGTTTATATGGCTGGCTCCTCTGCATTCAGATCTCAACACAAGTCAGTTTCTCAAACTTTCTTCCCTTCCTACCCTTCAAATAGCCAATGGCAGCTACCTTGCCAGGTATTGTTTGTCATTTCCATGTTTTATTTTCCATCATTTATCAATATTTGAAATAATCTTGCTTTTTTCCATTTTATTTTATTCTATCCTACCTTAGCTTACTTATCACTCTACGTGAATGTAAAATAGGCAGCTTATCTGCCTTGCTTATCACTAAATACTATTATTTGAAAAGAGCCTGGCAAGTAGAGGGCACTCCTATTTATTTTAGGAAGTGTATCTCTTGCCAGTTCTCTTCCTATTCTAAATTCCAACCATGCCAAACAAATTGTAGTGCTGTAAAAATGCCAGACAAATTTGCTTATACTTCTTCCTCTGTATAGAATTCCCTTCTTACCCTCATTATATTGCTTTACCTTGTCTGTTTTCCCATTGGAAATAAGCAAGTTAAGGGCATCATGTGTCTCAAACATCTAGCCAAGATAGATAACAGGCACTCAGTAAATGTTTATTGGGATAGATCACTTGGGAATCTGTTAGAACTACAGAATCTTGGCCTTCACCCCAGATCAACTGAATCAGAATCTGTTTTGAGCAAGGCCTCTAAAAGGTTTGTTTACATATCAAAACTTGAGTAGCACTATGTTATCGATGGTCATACAGATAACACAGAGCCTAAATTTAACTGGAAGGCTTTGTAGTGATCTATTATGGAAGGCAGAAGTAGTCAAGAAAAGCAGATGGCATTGGGTATTGACAAACCTGGCTGGAATTTTTGTTTAAACCAGTTACAACAGAAGTCGTTGTGAAATATTAGATATGAAAGTGGTGTATTGTAGATGCTTAATAAATGATAGTATCTTTCTCCCTTAGAAGATTCTAAGACTAGAACCAGAGTTAGAAAAGACCTTTGCATAGTTACCATATATTTTAGCATTTGTGTTTCTAAAGATTTTCAAACTAAATTAAAAAACAATCAGTTTCTCCAAAGAATACTGACTTCATTTGAGAATAACAAGTTGCTGAGGCTGGTCTTTTTTTTAATTTTTTTTCTTTTTTGTAGTTACAGATCAACATTGTGCCTTTACTTGTTTATTTTTTTAATGCAGTGCTAAGGATTGAACCCAGTGCCTCACACATGCTAGGAAAGCGCTCTGCCACTGAGCCACAGCTCCAGCCCTTTAAAGCTGGTCTTGACATTGCCACCCTCTTGCCTTGGCCTCTCAAGTCACTGTGATTACCATGCCGGTTTACATCCAATATTCTGAAATAACAGTMCTTGGTCATAATGATTAATAACAAGAGTGGTGTCAGTGTAAAGTTGAATATATCGTTCCTGGGAGATATCCCAGTGGAAGTACTTTTTGTATAAAGTTTGTGGTACTCTCTATGCCAGCTTGTGGTTCTGGCAGTCTTTTGTGATGGCTGGCTATTATCAGGCAACCATATGCAAGAACCTTTCCTTCTTAACCTTCCAGTTTCATTTAGTTTTGTTGTTAGGACTGACACAGGTGACTCCATTTTGATTGATAACTTCCACTTGTCTTTCACAAGATATGGAAAGGGCTGGAGTTGTGGCTCAGTGGTAGAGCACTTGCCTCGAAAGTGTGAGGCACTGGGTTTGATCCTAGCACCACATAAAAACAAATAAAGGCATTGAGTCCACATATAACTAAAAAAAAAAAAAAAAAGATATTGAACCTAAGGCTCACAGTTAGCCAGAGAGCTTCCTTATTTGTAAAATCATTAAACTAAAATTGTTTCCCCTAATTGTTTCATATGTGACATCTAATTCTACAGAAGTATATGATTTTTTTTTTTAAATGCAAGGGAAGTGGGGGTGGTACATATCGTTGCCTGATAGTAGCAATTCTATAAAAATAAAATCCCAAAATAAGTAAAGGCTTTTCTAGATAATTTTTTATAATAAGCAATTGAAGAGATTTACTAATATGGAGCAAAAGATAAGTCTAGTAATGTCCCTCTTATATGGTGAAGTAAATGAAACAATCGATTTATGAGAATAGAGAATTTGGGAGGATAATCCTATATCTGTTTTCAGTGAAAATACAGTTATTATTATTATAATTTTAAAATTTGTTCTAATTAGTTATACATGAGCTGCGGAATGTTTTTTAACTCATGGTACACAACTGGAGCACAACTTCTCTTTTCTCTGGCTGTACATGATGTAGAGTCACACTGTTTGTGCAATCATGTGTACACAAGGGGTAATAATATCTGTTCCATTCCATCCTCCTCCCCATGTCCCTACCCCCTTCCTCTCCTTCCCTCTGCTCAATCCAAAGTTCCTCCATTCTTCCCTAGCCCCCCACCCCAATTATGAATCAGCATCTGTATACARAGAAAACATTTAGCCTTTGGTTTTTGTGGGATTGGCTTATTTCACTTAGCATGATATTCTCTAACTACATTCATTTACCTACAAATGCTATAATTTCATTCTTCTTTAAGGCTGAGTAATATTCCATTGTGTATATATACCACATTTTCTTTATCCATTCATCTTGAAGGGCATCTAGGTTGTTTCCATAGTTTGGCTATTGTGAACTGACCTGCTATAAACTTTGGTGTGGTTGTGTCACTGTAGTATTGAAAGGGTAAATTTTCTAAGCTGGAAAGCTTGAATGTAAAAGATTAGGTATTATTAAGTTCCTCTGTTACACCCAGATTCCTGAGATAGTTAAAACAACACCCTACTGGCCGTTTAGCCTAGGGCCCTGTGCAGTTCCTCACAGGGCCCGAACCAATCAGTTTGAATGTGTAACCCGCTTACAAATGACCAATCACCGCCGCCCGGCCAGTTCCCGCCAATGATTGTGCCAATCACATCTCAGAGTTGTTGTTCAATTTCCCCGCGCCTCATGATGATTTGTTCTGATGTATGCAAAGCCTCCCGCCCTCCCCAAAAAGTGTACTTAAGCTCTGTTTGAACCTCTGCTCGGGGCTCTGAGCTGCGCTCCCTTCTTGAGTGGGCACAGAGTCCCAGCGCGCTGGAATGGATCCCCAATAAATCCCCTTTTGCCAATTGCATGGAGTAAGTCTCTTGTGTATGGTCTCTCCCTCCGACGCTMCGCCGGACCCCTCTTACAGTATGCTGAGAAAATAAGATTATTGCCCATGGCTGAATAGAACAGCAACAACAAAAATGTCTTGCTGTAGGAGTTTCCATATGTAAATCCTATGTTGGCCTTTTATTGCTTGGCTTGTGCTCTTCTTTCTTGGCTCTTCTTGATGCTTCCATTCTCTAAACTTTCTGGTTTTGATTCTCCTCTTCCTTAAACATAAGGTAAGGTTTCAGCAGACTGAGATAAGGGGGTACTTTATTCTGGAATAGGGCTGGAGGCGGGGCCAGGGAATAAGACCAACACTTCCCTGGCCCACTGAACTGGAGAAAAGTCAAGAGATCTGGGTATTTTTTCTGCCACTAGCCTTGACATCTGGGCTTTAGGTTTCCTCAAATAAGAAGTTGCACTGAATAGCTTATAATTGTAAAACTCTGAATAGGTGGCTCTAGGAGTAGCAGCCCTAAGTATAGACAAAGGAAGATAGGAAATGGAAAGGACAAGGAATGAGGAATGATTGAAGAGATAGGGAATAGGAAAGAAAAAGCTTACAGGTGAGGCTTGATGGTTCAGAAAAGTATGCCTTATCCTTTGGAAAAGTATGCCTTATCCTTTGGAAAAGTATGCCTTATCCTTTTGCATAGGTATTACTTTGAGTTAAAGGCACTTAAAAATAAAAATACTAGATGAAAGAAAGGTACTTTTAACCCTACCCTCTTTCTGAAAGCAGGAACCCTATCCTCTTTCTGAAAGCAGGAGATAAAACTTCCACATGGAAGATAGTTTCCCTATATCAAAAGTAACGTCAAGAATGGAAGTTGAGAGGTCTGTACAGACGTCATTAAAATACTTTTACTTTAGCCTACTCAAATTTTTTTTCACAATTGCCTCRTTGTTCAATGTAACATAAAAACACTTAGGTTTTGCCTAATTTGGGGGACTTCATTTCCTTCTTATAGCAGTCACGGAAAAACTCACATTAAATAAAATTGTATGCTTTTCTTCGGTTGATCTGGTCGGTTTAATTCGTAGGCCCAGCCAAGAAACCTTAAGAGGGTAGAGGTAAATTTTGTCTCCCTTATAGCTTTTTGCCAAAAAACTGACTTTCCTATTAGAAGAACTGAACTGGTGGGGATGCAGTCTCCAACCAATAAACTAAGGTGACCCCTATTTTATTCTGTTTTTAGGCTTCCAGGATTCTAGAAAGATCAGCAATGCTGTGGGGTAAATAGGGGAAAGGAAAGAGAAAGGAGGAGGGATCAGTGAGGAAAGTTAGAGAGAAGGTGGTTGGGGCGGCCGCCAGGCGGAGCCCGAAGCTTGCATCCCTGCATCAGCGTCGACTTAACAGGTAGCGTTGACTACATTTCCCAGGCTGCGCCGCCTGGGTCAGTCCTCTTTTCCTCTAGACCCGCCCCCTTCCCAGGGCCCCGCCCCCGCCCGGCGGCCCAGCTCGGCGCCCGCCCGACTTCCCAGCGGCCCCGTGCGGCCCGGGCATGCCCAGTGCGGGCGCAGCGGCCCCGGCCCTGGGAGCGCCCCGGCGGAGCGTGCGGCCGGGCGCGGAGGGGCCGATACGGTCCTCGGTGGGCGAGGGAGCTGCTGGTAGGTGCGAGCTACGGTGACCCAGGGCTCGGAGTGACCGCGCCGCCGGTTCAGGGCGGCAGGGGCCGTGAGGGCGTGTGAAGGCAGGCAGGGCCGGAGAGTGTGTTGTGAGGTTTCCCGCAATGACTGCGGGAGACGACCCTTGACAGGAAGGGACCTCGGACGGCAAGGATCCGCCGGGAACGGGGCCTGACCGCAGCGCTGTACGCTGTTGTGAAGAGCTTCTCTCCAGCTGGCGGCGCAGCTATCTTTAGTTCTCCCTGTGACCAGACGTGAGCGTGGTCCGCACCTCGTGCACAGCTGTGGTTAGGGAGAGTACCTGTTTTCAGCTTAATTGCCCAGGAGCTACGGGAGAGACGGGCCCAAGCGCCAGGGATGCGGAGGCAGTCGGTGAAGCCCAGTGAGAAGTGAGGATGTTTACCTTCGCCGTACCTGGAGTGGGATATTCCGGTTTCCTGCTTTCTCAGACTTGAGTTTATGACTTAGAAATCAAAGTGCGGGACTGTGCCTCAGTAGATACCCCCTCTGTTTTAATGACTGTCAAGAATTTAATGTGGAGCTGTATTTCAAGGTTTAAAAAAGCTTATATGTCCATGGGACTTTCGGTTTAAACAAAAGCCCTCCTTGCATAGCTTAAATAAAAAGAAGTCCTCACCGAGGGGATAGAACGTCAGGGTTCTGAAGTTTGCTGTATTTGCCTTTTGCTTGTTGTAACGCTGGACAAGCGATTTAGTATGAGACTCAATGCTCCCCCTGTAAAATGCTGTGAACCAGATGCATCTTAATCCCCTCATTTGCAGGATCCCCCCCCCCCCCGTGTCATTCAGTCTGTGTGTCTCAAATTGTGGCAGGTTATTTTTATCTGTGCCTCAACTGTTTGTCAAACTAGATAATTCATACCAACTCTTGTAGAAAATGTTAGGATGTCAGTATAAAATTGAAGTGACTTGTCCTTCAAAGGCCATTGGTCGGTAGGTACCCTGTCGGTTGGTACATGCAGAAGCCAGGTATTAACTGGCTGATTCAAATAACAGCGGTTCTGGATTGGGACAGACAGACATGTTTCAGGCTCCCTGTCAGTGCCTTGTAAGAAATACAGACAAAAGATCAAAGCCAACCCCAGCAACTWAGCAACCCTGTCTCAAAATAAGAAATATAAAAAGACTGGGAATGTGGCTCACTGGTTAAGTGCTTCTGGGTTTGATCTGCAGGATTTAAAAAAAAAAAAAATCCTGATGAAGTAATGGGCTTCCTCACATCTTTAAGCTGGCACATTCTTTAGTGGGATTGTGTTTATATAAAATCCTAAGGATTTCTTTTTTGTTTTTTTTTTTAATTCCATTGCATTTTGTACTAAAAAATATATACGAAGAATTTTAGTGCTCTTAATTTATATGGAAGCAAATAACTAGCTAAGAGGGTGGATTCATGATAGTCTTAAAACTAGTTCTTGTTCATTTTTGAATACTTATCATTCACCTGGCTCTGAGTCCTCACTACAGCCTTGAGAACCCTGTCTGTACCTGTGCTCATATGCTTGGAACTCTGAAGTATATGTTTTTAGGAGGGAAGAGTAGGAGCATTAACTGAATGTTAATTGTAGAAACTTCTGTTCCTGAAGTGAGCACATCTGGATAGGATTTGACCTAARGAGCTGATTGTTGTGCAGGTTGTCTTCGTCTGCTGCATTCCCTGATCTACCAGTTTTGAATGGCATTAGTCCAGTTAGGTCAATGAGGTGCTCTTTAGTGAAGTGTATAAAGGTCAGGGAAGGTGTGCTTATGTTTTGAAATTTGGAACTTTTTATAAACTGCTTGTGAAATTGTTATATTAAGGTTATACCTTTTCTTTTTCTTTCTTTCCTTATTTTAATTAGGTATATATGATAGCAAAATGCATTTTGATTCAATGTACACAATTGCAGCACAATTTTTCATTTCTCTGGTTGTACACGATGTAGCATCACACCCTATGTGCAATCTTAAGTGTACCTAGGGTAATGATTCTGTCTTATTCTATCATCTTGTGTGCCCTCATGCACCTTTCCCTAAGGTTATACCTTTTAAACTGAGGACCCCACAGCATGATTTAGTGAGGCTGGAGATAGAATAGAATACTAAGTTCTTAAAAAATTTCTAGGAGCTGGGGATATAACTTTGTGTGTGGGCCAGTTGTACCTGGGGCCTTTGGTTTGATCCCCAGCATGGAAGGGTGGGAGTATTTCTGCAAGTGAATTTTCCATTCACCTTAAATACTATTTATACATGTGAACTCTCAGTTGCTTAACTTTTGTGTGTGTGTGATGCAGGGGATTGAATCCAGGGCCTTGTGCATGCAAGGCAAGCACTCTACCAACTGAGCTATATTCCCAGCCCTCAATTGCTTAACTTTTGAAGCCATATTTCCCATTTACCCAAGAAATAAAATGAAAACCCTTATTGTTTTGAGGAATATTTATACATATGAACTTTTTCTGGCCTAATGTATTTTTTGGTGCTGGGGATTGAACCCAGGACCTCACACATATTAAGCACATATTACTGTACCACCAAGCTACACTCCTAGCCTTGGCCTAGTTTAAAATTACTCTGTTGCATGCTTATTACACTTATATACACATTTATATAAAGTTAAAAAACAGACCYATTTGGAGGTCTTGGTAGGTAGCTTCACATTATAACTGAAAACTCTGTGTTCTTGAGGTCTCTGTGTCTGAAAGAAGTACATATTTAGTAATTTTTAGAACTTTTTCTTATATTTTCATTCAAGTGTTGAGGATATGATATACAGCAAACATAAGAATTGCTTAAGAGGATATTGAAATGCTATTTTTACCCATCTCTAAATCCTCAAAAAAGCTTGGAGTCTGTAGTAGGAATAGTTTGGGACACCAACATTCAGAGGAGAACAGTGTTCTAAGCACATTTACCTCAAATAACAATAAAACGGTGGTAGCTGGGTACGGTGACCCATGCCTGTCACCATGCCCAGCTACCATGTGCCAGCATTTGCAATCCCATATACTCAGGAGGCTGAGGAAGTTGTTTTTTTAAATTTTTTTATTTATTATTCTTTTTAATTATACAAGACAGTAGGATGTATTTTGACATTTGTACATACATTGAATATAACTTCTCATTCTTGTGGTTTTACATAATGTGGAGTTACATTGGTCATGTATTCATATATGAACATAGGAAAGTAATATCTGATTAATTCTACCATCTTTCTATTCCCATCCCCTCTCTTTTCCCTTCTTCTGATCCAAAGTACTTCTGTTCTTCCCTCCTCCTCTCCTCTTACTGTGTGTTAGCAGCTGCATAAAGTTTGCAGGTTTGAGGCCAGCCTGGGCAAGTTTTTGAGACCCTGTCTCAAAAATTAACAAAGGGCTGGGGTGTAGCTTAGTGCTACAGCAACCCTGGGTTCAATTCCCAGTGCTTGGGGGAGAAAAAAAAATCCAGGTGCACAGAGATTGCACCTGAAGTCCTAGCTACCCCCAGCTACTCAGGAGGCCTAGGCACSGTTCCTGGAGCCTAGGAGTTCAAGAGCAGCCTGTACAACATGGTGAGACTCCATTTTAAAACAAACAAGCCAACCCAACAAATAATTATATGGGTTTTAAGTTTCAGCAGTTATAGGTCATAGCCTCACTTAGTTCACTGTGTTAGTGCTGGAATCTATTGCTCCCCTGTTTGAGGCACAGGAATAGGTGGTCATCATGTAGAGGTGTGCACCAAGTAATTTATCTTTAAGATAAATATTTTTCTTCCATTATGTACCATCTGTTTCCAGGTTCTTCATGATGAKAGATTTTGGGGTGCTTCTCTCTCTTCTGTGTAGTTGACAGTCTGGGTGGTGAGGAGATGGCTGACAGTGTCAAAACCTTTCTCCAGGACCTTGGAAGGGTGAGTACATCTTATTTCAAGTAATTTTCCCTTAGACCTTTTTGCTAAGAAACTGACTATGAAATTCTTTGAGTGTTCTTGGAGATTTTACATTTTGGGGTCCTTCATATACAGGTTTTCATTTTAATTAAGACTACTCAGATAGAAATTATTGTGTACCCTATAGGAGCTTGGAAGACCTGTCCAGTGAGTATTTGTAGTATTGGAGCCCTGGTCAGTTAAATTTTAACTTCTTATTTTGAGATAGATTAAGAATTAAGAATTATAGAAAAGTTKCGAGATAGTACAGTTACTGTATATCCTTTACTAGCTTCCCCAAATGTTAACACCTTGTCTGATTATGATACATTTGTCAAAACTAAAAAATAAACATTGGTACAGTACTATTACTTCAACTACTTTATTTGAATTTATATTATGTAACCTATTTTTTTTTTACTCTCATTTTACAAGTACAGGTGAGGAGGGTGCTCTAAGAAAATGCCCTATAAAGGTGTGTTTAGGATTTAGTCACCCAGATTTTCAGTGTTACAAGATTCTGTTACTTGTAGTGGATGTCTGGCGTCCAKTGTCTCCTCTGGAACCTCTCTTGCCATATTCTGAGCAGGAGGAGGTTCTTCCTTCAGTGAGAGTTTAAAAGGTTATTGCCTTACAGTAAAAAAGGAGAAATCAAAGGAGTATTATAGAAGGGCTAAAGAGATTATGCAATATGATCCACTTTTAATACCTTTATCTTCTATTCTCACATTCTTGGTGGGGTTCTTTTTTTTTTTGTCTTTTTTTTTTTTTTGGAACTGGGGGTCGAACCCAGGGCTTTGCGAATGCAAGGCAGACGCTTTTGCCACTGAGCTACATCCCAGCCCAATTCTCACATTCTTGAGCTATAAAATTTCAACCCTGGATCAGTTCTACAATGTGTTTCTCTACCTTACTATACTGGTATCTAATAGGTGGGGATCCTGTAAGCATACTAGGTAGGCCATTGGCTATTTGAATTGCATTTTCTCAAAGATTGGAGTTTTCTGATTAAAAAATTTATCGGTGGAAGATTTAAAGGTTAAAAGCAAAAATAAAACTAAAAGTTACTCAGAAAAAGGTCAGATGCACACTATCAGTTTATGCTGTCATCAGTAGGTAGCACAGGCTTGGTTACTTCTCTGTCTCCTGCTGGTATTTCTAAAATTTGTTTTGCCTAATAACAGTTGATGAGAATGCTATCCTTAAATCCAGCATTTTTATGACCATTTTATTGAAGATTCTCAATATGTGTTTGATTGAGTAGCTGGATAGGTGGATGGATAAGTAAATGTAGTTCTTTGGACTAGGTGACAGGTAATTTTGGTATTTATACTACCAACACTTACCTGGAACTTTTCATGTTTGGCTGGCAGGTGCCTCTGTTACTGTCTTTATAGACTTGGAACTCTTTTTCTCATCATATATTCATTAAGGATATTTTCTCTTTGCGCTACCCTACCATATTCTTATGTTTTTCTATTGTATGTGGTGKTCTCTTATCCTAGGGCTTCACATTTTATAATAATTTTTTTCTTTTTTTCTTTCATTCTTATAACAGTAATTGTTTCTTTACATGTCTTTCTCTAACTTTGGTTGTCCAGCCCTAGTCCTTTCTAGAGATCAGTTTTATTTATCCTTGTATCTTTAGATTTAGTGCAGGATACAGGAAATACTATAGATATTTAATCGATAATGTAGAGTATATAGGGGAAACAACAATTTGGCATCATAGTATTGATGAATATGGAGGAGTTGGAAAACTGTTTTGCAACCATGTTTTTCAAGATTGGTTTGGGCAAGAATTGGTGCTAAATCTAGAGGGGAGAACTTAATAAGCAGGATATTAGCATGAGTTTGGAAGTGTCTCCTCAAAGATTGCTTATTAGTTTCAAGAGGAAAACATTTGCACCATATAACAGAGAAACTGGACAATACCTTGACTGTAAAATTAACATAATTACAAGGGGAAAGAGCTATCGTGTATTTTTTTTTCTTTCTTCATAACTGGTGACTGATCTAGACCTCACACGTGTTAGGCTAGTGTTCTGCTACTAAGCTGCATCCCTAGCCCTTTTTTTAAAAAAATTTGTTTTGAGACAGGGTCTTGCCAAATTACCTAGGCTTTCCTTGAACTGCCATCCTCCTACCTCAGCCTCCTGTGTAGCTGGGATTATAGGTATGTGCCACTGTTCCTGAGGATATCATGTGCCACTTGATGTGATACCTTGAAAGGTACATCATCACTTCTGTGATATTCCTGCTAAAAATGCTTAATGGGATCTAATTATGAGGAAACAAATCTCAGTTTGAGGGAATTTCATAAAATAGCTGACCTGTATTTTTATGTATTGGGAATTGAACCCAGGGCACTTTACTACTGAAGGTACTTCCCCAGTCCTTTGTATTTATATCCCTAAGTTGCTCAGTCTGACCTCAAACTTGCCTGCCTCAGTCTCCCAAGTCACTGGGATGATAGGTATGTGCTACCATGCTTTGCTGGCCTGTATTATTCAAAAAGAACTACAAAGGCTAAAGAATTATTGCTGATTTTAAGAGACTAAGGAAACATGATAACTAAATGCTATATATGATTCTGGACTGAACTTTTATTATTTTTTTTCCAGTATTGGGATTGAACCCAGGGGTGATTTACTGCTGAGCTATATCCCCAGTCTTTTTTATTTTGAGACAGGGTCTCACTGAGTTCCTAAGGGCCTTGCTAAGTTGCTGAGGCTGGACTTAAATGAGTTGTTGGAATTATAAGCATACACCACTTCACCAGGCTGGACTGAACTCTTCTGGGGTAAAATGCCTTAGAGGGCATTATTGGGACAAATGGAGGAAATTGTGATCTGTACTATAAAATATTTTAGTATTAAATTTTTTGAATAACTATCTTGGTTATATAAAAACATTTTTCTTAGGAAATACACACTGAAAAATTAAGAGAACATGATACAGTAACCTATTCAAATGATTCAGGAAAAAAATGTAAGTATTTGTTAATATGACAAAATATTAAACTGATAAATCTTGAAAAAATATATTTGGAAGTGCTCCATTATTCTAGCAACTCTTCTGGAAGCTGGGAATCATTTTAAAAAATTAAAAGAAAGAGAAACTAAGGGTCGAGGGTATAGTTCAGTGGTAAAGTGTTTGCCTATTATGTATGAAGCCCTGGGTTTGATTCTTAGCACTTCCAAAAAGGGATATAT